CAGGCGAGGGGCGGCGGGCAGCGGCCGCAGACCCGGAGCGAGACCCGGACTGCAAGCGACGGCGGAAGCAACGCCGGGAACGCGCGCGGGGCGGGTCTTGGAGGCCGCGCGCTCCGAGCCGGGTCCTGGCAGCGGTGCGTTCCGAGTTCTGATTCCAGGTCCTGGCAGCCGCGCGCTCCGAGCCGGGTCCTGGCAGCGGTGCGTTCCGAGTTCTGATTCCAGGTCCTGGCAGCCGCGCGCTCCGAGCCGGGTCCTGGCAGCCTTGCAGTCAAACGAACAAAGGGTTCTGGCTGCTGCGCGCTCCCTTATTCTGTGAATGAGCGTCCTGATGACCGTGCGCTGCAAGTCCAAACCCTGGTCAGCCCACGTCCTCGCGTTGTTAAATCTTACTGGGGCTGACATTAATGCATACATAAGTCCATCACAGGCAAGAGGGAAACAAAATTTTGTTATTTGCAAAGTCCATTTTTTTGTCTTTTGTAAGCTGCTAGGACCTGGGCGGTGAGGAACCCGCCTAGGCTCCACTTTCAACCGAGAGGGTGGGGGGACCCCGAGGGCTGCCCGCATTGGCAGTGGATGGCTATTCCCTCGAGAAGGTGCTCCGGTGACCCTTTCCCGCGTGTACGTGCTCTTCGTGAGAGGGTCCTCCTTTCTCTGGCCCTCCCTGTGTGGGCGCGGCTCCCATGCCTTACCCCTGAACGTCCCGCCCTGGGTGGCCCTCCCCCGGGAGGTCTGCCCTTGCACCCACATCCAGCCTTGCCCACCACCCCAGCTTGAAGACCTCCCCGCATGGACCTGTCTTGCGTGGAATCTCCAGGCAGTGCCTCCCTCCTGGTTTCTGGGAGCCCGCTGTGGAGTCCACCGTGGGCCAGAGATTCTCCCCAGGGCCGAGGGTGGGTTCCACCACGGGAAGATGTCAGTGAGCATATGTCACTTATTTGGCAGGAGCAATCTATTTTTTTAATTTTGAAAATAAGCACTTTTAAAAGATACTGTGCAAATTATAACTACGCAATCTGTTAATTTTTAAAAAATATCTCTGATTCCATACAAGTGCAAGGTATTCTGAAGCATCACTGTGTGTGTGTGTGTGTGTGTGTGTGTGTGCAGACTTGAAAATGCATTACATGGATAGTTGGTAGTGTAAATAATAAATTAGTTGTGTATAGCAGTGGTTAGAAGGCTTCAAAGTGAGCATACCTGATTTGTTGTTAAACTAGGAATGCTGTCAGGCACAGTGAAATAATTTAGTTTAAAGTGGACAAAACTCAAATTCATAATTTCTTATGTGTGTCTGCCAGTTGCCTTCCCCAAATGATAGGAACGATGTATGGATCTCTATTTCATTACACCCTTAACGAGTCCAGTTATTAGCATTTACAAAGTCATTTGTGAGGGCCTTTTTGTTTTTGTTTTTTCGTCTTTTTGAGACAGGGTCTTACTATGCAGTTCAGGCTGGCCTTGAGCTCTCTTTGTAGTCCAGGCTGGTCTCGAACTCACAACGATCCATCTGCCTCAGACTCCTGAGTGCTGGGATTACAGGCATGTGCCACCACACCTGGCATTAGTGAGTTTTTTTTTGAGGGTCTGTATATCTATAGAGCTATAAGGCAATTCCTTGTTGGGGATTTCAGGTTACAGAGGGGCAAGGAAAGGGGGTGCTGGAGCCCACCCAGCTTGTACTTCGCAAGCTGGACCCCATCTTTGAAGGTTGTGCCTTCCCTGCTTTCCAAAGCTGCCCTTTATTCTGTCCTCCCGCAGTTTTGTCTCTGAGTGTGAAATCTGTGTTATTTATACACGTTGTGCCTTCTTCACGCTTTCCTGATTCCTTGAACATCACTGTGATTTCCAAGGGACCTAGAGACCCCAAGCCTTGCAGGCAGTGGGTCTCGATTGCTTTCAGCCGCACACAAAACTCCAGGCTGTTAAACATGCTCACTTCATGCATGAACTCACTCATTCAGCAGATACAGTATATTGACTGGCTTTCAACACCAGGTGCTGTTCTCCAAAACTAAGAAGGGGAAAGTGTGTGTGTGTGTGTGTGTGTGTGTGTGTGTGTGTGTGTGTGTGTTAATGTAATTATCTCAACTTCTTTTTAAATTACTCCCAGACATAGCTCTGTGTTCCTCCTGTTTCTTGACCTCCTTTCTTTTTCTTTCCCTTTTCCCTCTTCCACCATTCCTTCCTTTCCTTTTTCCTTCCTTTGTTCCTTCGTTCCTTCCTTCTCAGGAGGAAAATCAGAGACAGACCTCCAAAGAGCAGTGTTATTTATTTGGTATTAGCATTCAAGAGGAGCATGGTGCCTTAGTGAACTCTGGCTTGTCCAAAGAGGTTAAGATAAGGGGAAGTTTTTAAAGACATAAACTTAAAAGAGTACATCAGGTATTTTTAAACCCTAATCCTTGACAACAATGGTTAATAGCAAAAGTGATGCAACCTGGGGTGGAACAAGCAGTTGTTGGGCAGATGTCCTTGGGGAAGTACTGTGTGTGTGTGTGTGTGTGTGTGTGTGTGTGTGTGTGTGTGTGGAGGGGGAACATGGGCTGGGGATTGAATGCCGAGCCTTTTTACATGATTTGCCACTGAGCTACACTCCCATCCCCTAGAATCTATTGTTTGTTTTGTTTTTGTTTTGATTTCCGAGAGGGTATTTCACTATGTTGCCCAGGCTAATCTGAAACCCTCCTGCCGCAGCCACTGCACTCACCCACCCTCACCCCCTTTAGAAGCAGTTTTGTATAAGGTTGCAGTGGGCTCTGCGGGCTTCTGGCTCTGAAGGAGTCTTCCATGACTCATTATCAGGCATTCATGCATAAGAGCTGTTCCTTCAAACCTCTCAGCTTTGTTTGCTTGTTTCTGTTAGGCTCCATGCAAGTGACTCCATTTGATTCACATTTCTTTTACACTTTATAAAGTACTCAGTTGGTCCAAGGATAGAGCTCAGTGGCTCAGCGTGTGCCTGGCAAGTGGGAGATCCTGAGTTTGATTCCTGGTACCAAAAAAAAAAAAAGAAAGAAAAAGACCAAAAAGAAAAAAATGGGGGTGGGAATATAGCTCAGCAGCACAAGCACCTGCCTGGCAAGCGCAAGGTCCTGAGTTCGATTTCCAGTACCAAAAAAAAAAAGTACTCAGCCTAAGGTATTTTAGCAACATAAAATGGACTAAAATAGTAAGGCTTTCTTCAGGTCCCTCACAAGGCACAGATGCCCCTGCAGGAGTATCTCTGGTGAAGGTGAGAAATTTGGCTCCATTCTGCATAGTGTGGGCAATTGCAGATGCATAGCTGTCAGCAGGTGGGATATGTGTCTGGAAAATGACCAAGAGGGGACATCAAGTGTGAGTGGAACTGAGTGGTCCCACCAAAAAGGGTTAGGAACTGAGGTTGTCCCCCCACCAAGTAGGAGCCCTGAGCTCATGACAGACACCATAGTGTTACCTCAAGCACGATGATGGGGCTTCCAGAACCTCACAGAACCATCTTGAGAACCATCGACCAGACCACACTAGACTGAGATGACCTGTACTTCAAACTGCACAAACCCAATCTTTGCCTTTGGGGGTTAGGGGTTGAACTTGCTCTGTGAAGACCCCTGAAGCCCAGACTTTTGCCCCCAAGCCCCAGTAACAACCATACAATCCCTAAGGGTAGTAGAGGATAAGGACTCTGATCAGATATTGAGGGTGGGGGGATTCTTGTTTAGTTGCCTTACCAGAGTTTCCTGCTAAAACTGGACTTTACACAGATGGGCCTAGAGCAGGTGCAACAGCCTGGCCAAAGTTTGTTCAAGCAAAGGATTGGTCATGGTACAAGTACCCTTAAGGACTGCTATGAAAAATAAATTGAATTGAATGATTAGTAAGTGGCCACTCAGCTCTGAGTGAGCATCCCCAAAATGCTTGTTAAATCAAGCACATATTTTAGGAGGAAACAGACATCCTCATGGCTCTGTGGTCTGAAGGGTGAGTGCCTGGACTGGGTTTATCAGAGTGGTGGCTACAAAAAAGCCAGAGCTGTGTTTACAGTTCACAGAAAAACCATCCTTTTCAGGAAAACAACTCAGTTTAAAGAAAACAAGAACCCCGAAAGAAGTTGAACTTGGAAGAGTATTCTGAGAAGGCTTTGAGTGACTCTGGATCTGCAAATTCTGATCTTTGCATGAGTTAAATTGAAGAAGAACTTGGTAGACCTGACCTGAGAAGAGCAGACAGATCTGTGCATGATCTGTGAAAGTGTCACAGGGTCAGTCAGCAGGGCTGTTCAGACCTAAAGTGCACTGTGCATCAGGCTGGCCATAGTGAAGAGGATGAGGGGCTGGGGATTTAGCTCAGCGGCACAACACCTGCCCGGCAAGCGCAAGGTCATGAGTTCGATTCCTGGTACCGGAAAACAACAAACAAACAAAAGAAACCAAGAGGATGAGTACAACCATTTTCAAAATACATGGAAATAGCCAGGCACGGTGGTGCACACCTGTAATCCCAGCATTTGGGAGGCTGAGGCAGGAGGATCATTGTGAGTTTGGGACCAGCCTGGACTACAAAGTAAGCTCAAGGCCAGCCTGAAATACATAGTGAGACTCTGTCTCAAAAAGACCAAAAAGGGCTGGGGATATAGCTCAGTGGCATAAATGCTTGCCTGGCAAGCTTGAGGTCATGAGTTTGATTTCTGGTACAAAAAAAAAATGACCAAAAATCCCCCAAAACCCATGGAAATGATGTCATGGAGTTTCATTTATCACCCCAGGGTAAGCCTGCACATCTCTAACCTATACCTAGAAACTAGAGGACATGGAGGTGACAATACAGTTCTGCTTGCTTTTTCTCTCCTTATTTAAAAATATGTACCATGTGCATTCATTCTAGAAAATATGGAGGAAAGAGAATGATGTGGAAAAGAAAATTAAAACATCCAGTCATCCATCAAGAACTGAACTCAGTAATTTCATTTCCTTTATCCGAATTGGATTTGGACTAGTAGATCATTTACTCATTCAGTCAGTCATTCAAGAAATATTCAAGTGCCCATCATGTACAAGAAAAGTGGTTTTGGTCCAAGCACAATAGTGCAGACGTGTAATATCAGCACTTTGAGAGGCTGAGGCAGGAGGATCACAAGTTTGAGCCCAGCCTGAGCAACTAAGTGAGGCCTCAAAATAATAAATTAAAAAGAGCTGTGACTATAGATTAGTGCAAAGGTCCTGGATTCAATATTCAATACTGCAAAATAGAGGGAAGGAAAGAAAGAAAGGAAGGAGAATGAAAGTGGCTTTAGAGGGTGGAGGTGGAGTTGGGAAAACAGCTGAATACCCCAAAAGATATGAGTGGAACAGTAGAGAAAGAGATGCTAGATGCAGGGGAGGAGGGGCCGTTCCAAGGCAGCTCAGGAAACTCAGTCTCAAAGGAGCTCAGAGCTCAGCCAAACTCAGCACTGCTGACTGGCTCACGGTCTTTCTCAATCAAGCATGACTGGGTGTCAGCTGAGCGTCACACGCATCTCTCCCGAGGTGCAGGCAGGAAAGACATCTTTGCCTTAAGGACTCTGGCAGGAGAAAAGCTCCTGCTACAGACTCCTGTGATGGGGCTGGGCAAGCCTAGTGAAGCAGCCCAGCACCTGGGCCTGGGCTGGCTCTTGTAAGGGAAAGCTGGTGCGAAGGAAGCACTGGTCACACGCTCGGCAACCCTACTTACAGGCAGGCATGATGGCTTCCTTACAGAGGACGAAGTGGAGGCCAGAGCAGGTAACTAGCTGCCCAAGGAGGCCAAATAAGTGGCCTCCAATCAGACCTCTCAAGCTAGAATGTGTTGGAGTGTAATCCTGAACTGCGGATCCTGACTCTACGCATCTGGGGTCAGGCCTGAGATTCTACTTTGCTAAGGAGCTCTCCAAGTGATCCTGAAATGGGTGACAAATGTGAACACAGGACACTTTATCTTTTTACCTTGGGAGTTACTGCACTAGGGGAGTCCTCCTGGGGACAGCTCCCAGAGGCCTGTGTTCTGGCAGTCCATTCAGTAATTAACATAATGATAGTAATTAACATAATTATGGAAACAGCAATTAACATAAAGGTGGCCGCTGTCTGGGGAGATACAGGTGAAATCCTACCTGTCAAACCATCACTTAGCATATATGGCTGTCACTTCAAAGAGAGTTCATGGGCCTTAACAACAACAATACTGAGAGCTACTGGTTTAGTCAATTCTCTTCAGTTAAAATCTGTGCTTCTGGTGGTACTTCTTCAGCGTTTCCAAAGGAACCGTCTGGATTCACTCTTAATTTATGCAAGGAATCTATCTCTGGTGTTGAAAGGTGACAGTAAATAAATGGTTAATGCAGTTGGAAGCTTCTATTCACTCCCTCTTGCTAAATAACCATCAATCTTTCCCTCTCCAGCTGTTGGCTTTAGGAAGAAATGTCCCCGTGTATCTTCCAAGGGCCAAAGAGAATCGAGACTCGATTGTAACAGGGTTTCATTTTACTTTTAGCAATTGCCACAAACGTTGCAGACCCAAAGATCTCCTTCCAGCTTAAAACAAAGGGTTTGAACAAAGATGCTCAGCCTGGGTACCTGCGCGCTGCCGACGCGCTTTTGGATTGGTTGGACTACAGTCCAATAAGAAAGAAGAGACGCATCTCCTATTTACATACATGTTTCTGGGTCACCGACGGGCAGCAGGCCGTCCAACCAGGTGCCAGACATTTGAAACCCTCATTTGAATATAAAGATGACAAATAGGCCTGCCTGCGCCCCATTCCAGCTGGTCGTCCTTCGGTTACCGTCTCGCTATGCCGGAGCCTTCCCGCTCCGCTCCGGCCCCCAAAAAGGGCTCCAAGAAGGCCATCACCAAAGCACAGAAGAAGGACGGCAAGAAGCGCAAGCGCGGCCGCAAGGAGAGCTACTCCATCTACGTGTACAAGGTGCTGAAGCAGGTGCACCCCGACACGGGCATCTCGTCCAAGGCCATGGGCATCATGAACTCCTTCGTCAACGACATCTTCGAGCGCATCGCGGGCGAGGCGTCGCGCCTGGCGCACTACAACAAGCGCTCGACCATCACGTCCCGCGAGGTGCAGACGGCCGTGCGCCTGCTGCTGCCCGGGGAGCTGGCCAAGCACGCGGTGTCGGAGGGCACCAAGGCCGTCACCAAGTACACCAGCTCCAAGTGAGCGCGCCGCGGGCGCCCGAACCCAAAGGCTCTTTTCAGAGCCACCTCCAAGCTCAAAAAGGAGCGTGCGCGTGGTCTGACTGTGACCGGTGACTCAACTGGAGCGGTAAGGGGTGGGAGGAGGTGCACTGCGCAGAGTGTGCACGTCCCGAGACCGGATTAGGCTCCTCCTAATGGTACGTTTTCCTTTAAAAAAAAAAAAAAAAAAAGGCTGGCTCGGTCTAGCCCACATACAGCAGCTAAAAAGGGAGCATCCTGCCGAAATCTGGCCTGTGTGGCGTTCTTTTTGCTCAGTACCAAGGCGATTTGTGTCATTCCCCAACCCCTGTCTGGTGGATGAGGCTGGAAGATGTGAACGATGAGGATGCTCTGGCTGAGGCTGGGGTTGTCACGCTGACCTGCGGACACACTTTAGCCTTGCTTCCTCAGCTTTAAACCCTTTGCTCCCCAGGGTGCAACACCTTAAGCTTTTAGCCCAAAGCTAAACATTTCAGAAGCGTTTTGCTTAAGCAGCTCTTTGTGCAACGGGTTCCTTTGGAAACACTACTCCCGCAGGCACACAGATCCTGGACTCTACCTTTAAAATCCCCACCTGAGAGAATCTGGTATTTCTTCATTCGCATAATGTATGCATTTTTTCCCATCGTGAACAGTGAAGATCTTTCCATTTCATCTCCAAGCATACGTGCAAAATACATATATATATACACATGTCATACAGTATATCATGTACACAACCTATGTGAAATATCTTTTACATACAGTTAATCTGTACCTTTCTTTTCAAAACCTGTGGAGCTATGAACAAAGTAAGTACTATGTTTGCTTGGTTACATATTAATTTCCAAGGCATGCAGGCCTGCCTGGGATCCAGGCTGTATCCTCAATCACAAATACCTGGAAGAGACCCCACCCCTCCAAGAGCTCATAGTTGGCTTGGATTCAAATTTGAGACTCTGTCTGATGGTAGACAATGGCTGGCTGTCTTCTCACATCTGCCACAGTGTCAGCCCTGCATCTGTTCGCATTTAACCTCTTATTGCCTCATATGCTAAGTTCACTTCTTTGAGCTTGTAGCTTCTTCTCAAAGGAACAGTTGTTTCTTGCCCTCCAAATCTTTGGTTTTTTCCCATTGATTAGGAAATTTTACTTGAAAGCCTTAGCAGGAAGGGCAGTCTCTTCTATGCTTTTCAGATGGTACCCTCCCACTTTTTCTAGAACCCACTTCAAGTGTTAGCTTGGTTTATTCAGAATCAGAATAGTTCCAGTGTGTAAACCCTGTTCTCTTAATCTCTATAGATTTTAAAATATTTTAAAATGTGTTGCTTCTTTTACCTTTCACCTGAAATAGAATATGTCTTCTTCTCTGTTGTAAAAGTGGAATTATAGGCATGTGTTTGTGTAAAATTTCTCTCACTTTTTTCGTTATAGCAATCTCTATAGCCGAGACCCTGTTTTGTGTTCTTTCCCTTAACTGATTTTTCTCCAAGGAGGGAGGGACAATTCTATACATCCTGGGACTGGGGTTGCCATGCAGCAAGTAAAGGCTTTCTATTCGTACTACAAGCCGTTGCCAGAAGAATTAGGGAAAATGAGAAATTAATCCACATTTTGTGTTATCTACAACAAAATGTATTCTTATAGAATTATATTTGGAAATTATGATGCATTCATTTTGCTCACTGATTCTGCCTACTGCCAGTACAATCACTCCTCTGTCTGCAGGAGGCAAATTTCATTTTATTAAACCTATGTGTTTGTCTCCTTAAGGTAGAGAACCACATGGATCTACATTAACTGGCTACAGATACTCCTTTAAAACTTCATATGTTTGACCAGCACTGAAAAGAAAAAAAAACACAAAAACTTCATTTCCAATTTATAGGTTGGGGTTAGTGGCTTGGATGTCTCAGTCATGGCTGACAGGTACCACTTAATTTCAATGCTGGATCACTGTTTAAGTTTTAAATTATAACTAGGAAGGCAAAGAATTGAGTAAAATAGCTATGAAAAAACTTTAATTCCTATGTTTTTTCCATAATTTTCTTAACTACCAAAAGAAAACAGAATGAAAGTGATGCTGTACACTGCTAAGATAGTAACCATACCAACACTATTTATGCCCATATATACATGAAGTAAACAAGGCAGAAAGTCTAAAAGAGGGAAGGAAGAACCGACACTCAGCTCATTGAAATAAAAATTTAGTTACACTAACTTAAACAATTTTGTACTGTCCAGATGAATTTTTTAACAGAGGACCTTTGGTCACCTAAAATGTTTAAATTTCAATTGACACACTGTTTTTTCAAGAAAGGCAATAGACAAAAACATATATATAATTGCTGTAGGATGACATTCTGAGGCAAAAGGAAAATGGAAAAATGAGTTCAGAGACAGCAATTTCTTGAAATGCCACTTAAGAAGGTGTCACATTGGGATATGCATCCTTGCAACTATTTGAAGATTCGATAAAAATACCTTCAATTTTAAAACTTTAATTTTCAGAATTATTTTAAAAGCTCCATGCAGGAAGAGAGCTGGCGACAGCCACTGTAGGAAGCACTTCACCGAGTCCGGCACCTCTGCACCAGCCCAGACAGGAGACAGGCTTCCTTTGGAGAAACGACTTGGAAACATATATTAACATTTATTTACCAAGACAATAACCAATACTCAATACTTCTAATTCTCTCAAGTCAAATTATTACAAAACCCCTTTTTATAAATACAAAAAGTCAAATTCAGAAAAAGTCAGTCTGTGTCCGCTTCGAAACGAAGATTTGTGCCAAAACACTTTCCTAGCACCAAAACGGCACTCTCCAAGCAAATACCACGAACGTGAAAAAAAAGGTTATCCTGTCTTAGGAACACTGCCAGAAAACAGTGTGCCCGAAGAGAAAGCTACATTTGTTCAAAACGAAAGAATTACTTTCCTCTGACCCCTGGGTTAGGGTTTGGTCAGAGGAAACTTCCCCCGACCCCTGAGGTCAAAGCTGTGGTCAGCTGTGGTCATTTAAAGCATCCAGCTCACGGACGACGGGCACGGCCGTGGCCCGGGATTCAAGCCTACTGCTATTGCAGGATTTTGCCAGGCAAACATCCTCCTGGAATGTTCACTACTCCAGGATAAAGATGTCTATCTCATCGGTCCGGGGACTAGGTCGTAGAAAGCCGCAGAGCCAGGACCTGCCACAAGGTAGCGCAAGATGCGGCGGCCTCACCAAGCTCGTGGCCATCGCCCCTGACCTCGGCCACCAGGAGGTGACCGGCACCGGGGTGGGGGATACAATATTCTCCCAGGGTAGGGGAAACGTGCCCGCATCTGCTATAAGGTGTGGGGTTGGGCAGAGGGTTACGCGCCTGCATCTGCTAGCGTGCCTTTATGCCACCATTCCTGCCCCCACTTTAAAACGAAATACATTCCTGCATTATGCTCACAGAAGACTCAGAGCAGGCGCCCAGGAGCAAGGAGCCGCTACGGCGCACGTCAATATGCGCGCTTAGGTAATAACCCCTCACCGTGTCCAAAACCCTTTCTCGACCGTGTGGGTGGCTCTGAAAAGAGCCTTTGGGTTCGGGCGCCCGCGGCGCGCTCACTTGGAGCTGGTGTACTTGGTGACGGCCTTGGTGCCCTCCGACACCGCGTGCTTGGCCAGCTCCCCGGGCAGCAGCAGGCGCACGGCCGTCTGCACCTCGCGGGACGTGATGGTCGAGCGCTTGTTGTAGTGCGCCAGGCGCGACGCCTCGCCCGCGATGCGCTCGAAGATGTCGTTGACGAAGGAGTTCATGATGCCCATGGCCTTGGACGAGATGCCCGTGTCGGGGTGCACCTGCTTCAGCACCTTGTACACGTAGATGGAGTAGCTCTCCTTGCGGCCGCGCTTGCGCTTCTTGCCGTCCTTCTTCTGTGCTTTGGTGATGGCCTTCTTGGAGCCCTTTTTGGGGGCCGGAGCAGATTTGGACGGGTCAGGCATGACGGCAGACGTCTCCGAACACACAGGAGGAGCACAAACCAACGCTGTTTGTGTCTTGTATTCAAATAAAGGATCAAAAATGTGTCTCTTCTGATTGGAGAGAACGTGGAGTTACGTAATCGCAGGGCAAGACATGCGCGTATTAGGAGATGCCGGATTGCTTTTCTGATTGGCTACTGATGCCATCCAATCGAACGGCGCCGACTAGCCTACCTCCGCGCCATATATAAGGCCTCTCTGGGGCCGTGCTCGTTTGTGCTGTCCCGTGGCTTGCCTGGGTTTTTCGAGAGGGCCCGCCGCAGCAAACTGGGAGGCAAGGCGCGCGTCAAGGCTCGCGCGCAGGCCTGCAGTTCCCCGTGGGCCGCGTGCACCGCCTGCTCCGCAAGGATCACTACTCGGAGCGCGCGGGCGCCGCGCCCGGGTGTACCTGGCTGCCGTGCTGAGGTACCTGACGGCCGAGATCCTGGAGCTGGCGGGTAACAGCAGCGACAAGAAGAGCGCGTCCTCCCGCGCCACCTGCGGCTGGCCACCCCGAAAGACGAGGCGCTCGGCAAGCTGCCGGGCCCGTGACTTTGGCGCAGGGCGGCGTCCTGCCCAACATCTAGGGCGTGCCGCTGCCCAAGACCGAGAGCCGCCACCAGGCTAAGGGCAAGGGAGAGCGGCGGACAGCGCCTGGAGAAAAGAGCCGCCCTGACATCGCAGCCCCCGCGGCCAGCGCCTCGCCACCGTCCCGGAAAGACCGGGCTAGGAGGCGCCCGGGGCTCCCGTGGGGCCCGACCTGGGGCCCCTGCTTGCTCGTACTTGCATCCGTCACAGACGGACTTAGTCCCCGCTGCTGCCCCCTGTAGCGTCCCCTCCCCAGGAGGACTGGTGCAAAGAACCTGGAGCTCCAGAAAGTTCCCACTTAAGACGTGGGAGTGCCTGCGTTCTCCAGGGTTGACGGTCAGTCAGTTCGTCTGGCGGCGAACGTAATCTGAGAATCTGTGGTGTTAGGTTCTGAGGGAGAAATCTTGGGGTTTCCATTTAAAATGCTAGTGTTTGAGCCTCGAGTCGGAATAGCTAAATTTTAACAAAGTGAAATCCACGTGAGTCAGGGCCCGATTTTGTTGGATTGGGATTTCTAAAAGGTCTTGGGAAAGTTTATTTTTAATACTTAATTGCTGTGTCTTAAAACAGGGTGTAAATGTTTTAAGGAGAAATAGGATACTTACATTTAGTTTTATTTAAGTTGGCCAAACATTAATTAAGGAACGTCCTAAGTTGCTCAGATCAGAAATCAAAATAAGTAGTACACTGAGTTTAATAAAAATTTGCATTTATTTTAATAAAAATGTAATGAATAACAAATTTAAACTTTTAGAACCAGAAAGTAATAATTGTTCATGAGCTCCACATTCTGTTATAAAGGACCTATGGGGGATTACAGGAATTACCTATGATAATCCTTTAAAACATAGCTCAGAGCTGGGTAAATGTTACCCATTTTTCCTTTTTCCTATGCTGTTTTCATTAATTATAACAAATACATGGGGCTGGGGATTTTGCTCAGCGGCACAGCGCCTGCCTGGCAAGTGCGAGGTCGTGAGTTCGATTCCCAGTACCGGAGAAAAACCAAAACCAAAAAAACCCAAACAAACAAATACAGGCCAGCAAGACAAGAAGTATTATATAAGACATATTGTATAATATTACATTTAATATGTATTTATCCTACTAAAATTAGGTTTACTCAAGTCTCCCAGATAGCATATGGAGCTGACCACAAATCTTTAGAAAACAGTCCAGTTCTAAGTAACTATTTGTGTATAAGTTGATAACTCACAGCTCCAACCCTTACTCTTAAAAACAGAATACTCACAAGTTTGTGTGGATCATTCACCACACATTTACCATTCCAGTAAAACAATGACACAAGGACTGGCCTTTCAGAGCTCTAACCCTTCTATTTCTCATGAGAGCCTTCGATTCTAGTCTAAATCATCATGCACTGGTAGCTCTAAGTTGAAGTATGCCCAGTCTGTGTGCCTCGCTTGCCTAGGCTGCGTGGAGTGAAGAAGAATTGTCTTGGGCAGCACATAAAATATTTAATATAGCTTATAAAATGCACATAATTTACAAAACTTCTTTTATTTTTATAACATTGGCTTGTCAAACACACAGATTGAACATGTTTGTAGGGGGATGCTGGAGATTGAACCCAGAGCCTTTGCACTGAGTTACATCCCCAGCCCTTTTTATTTTGTACTTTTTGAACCAGGGTCTCTCTAAATTACCCAGAAAGTACTCAAACTTTTGATCCTCCTGCCTCAGGTTCCCAAGGGCTGGGATTTTAGGTGTCTGGCAAGATTGGGACACTTTTTTTTTTTTTTTTTTTTTTTTTTTTTGAGACAAGATCTGACTATGTAGTCCAGACTGGCCTTGAAGTCATTATGTAGCCCATACTGGCCTCAAACTTTTGGTGATCCTCCTGCCTCAGCCTCCCAAGTGCTGGGATTACAGGCATGTGCTACCACACCTGGCTGGACATTTCTGAGTAAGTCATCCTATCGTTTCAAACCCTTCAGGGGAATCTAAGAAGCTTTTTTCAGAGCTGAAGCATAGATGTTTCAAGCATCACCATGGATTCCCACATCTAAAAGGGAGGCAGTGAAGGGAGGTTATTCAGGGTAGATTTTCATTTACACCTCTAAACTCAGCTGCCCAGGATACAGCAACAAGCCACAGGATTAATTTTCAGTTAATTAAAATTTAACACAGGCTGGGGATTTAGCTCGGCGGCAAAAGCGCCTGCCTGGCAAGCGCAAGGTCGTGAGTTCGGTTCCCGGTACCGGAGAAAAACCAAAAAAAAAAAAAAAAAATTTAATACAAACAATTCCTCAATTGTTTTGCCAAATAAAGAATATTTCATTATCACAAAATGTTCTCCTTGGGCAGCTCTGGTCTAAGGTCTGTCATCCATCATATTATCATTTACAAGGGCTGCCCTTCCATGAGAACAGCACAGAAACTCATGCATGAGGACAACAGCACCATGTGGCCTGGCAATTCCACTCCTAGATGCAGGCCCAAGACAAGTGAAAATGCAGACCCAGCAGAAACTTGTGCACAGATGTTCACAGCAGCATTATGTATAATATCCAAAAAGTGGGAACAACTGATGAATGAGTGACTCAGCTGTGGTCTGTCTGAGCCATGGAGTATTTGTTGTTAACTGTGAATGAATCACTGATTCGTACTACCTCATGGATGAACTTCAAAAATGTTATGCTCCATGAGGTAAGCCAGGCACAAAAACGCGTATATATTATATAACCTCATTTATATGAAGTGTCAGAATGGGCAAATTAGTGTCAGGATTAGTTGTCAGGAGCTGCGGGAGGGAGAATAGATACTGCCTACTGGGCACAGGGTTTTGTGATGAGACTGTTTGGAACTAGACAGAGATGGTGCTTGCATGACATAGAGAATGTGCTAAATGCCCCTAGGTTGTTCACTTTACAATGGTTGCCTGTATGTCATGTAGATTTCAGCTCAATTTTTTAAACATTCTCAACCTCATAAATGAATGTAACAAATAACAAGACTCAAAGACAGGGAGAAAAACAAATGGACATGTAGGGAAACTGGAAAGGTCAGAGTAGATGAGATGTTTGCAAGGAGTCTGTCTCTTCCCGTCAGTGATGCTGCAGGCCCCTCCTGCAGAAAGGAAGCAGCACTCTTAGCACACGGAGCATGGGGGGGGGTCTGCTGGGACCCTGGCTGGGAAGCAGCTGGTGGGGCCCACACTGACATGGCCATAGCTGGCTCTTCTCTGCCTTGACACGCCCTCTGCTGCTCCCTGCGGGGTGGGGAGCAGTTCCCTGGCCATTGAGGGCACACACACCCTCGTCAGAATCATCTTGGCCACACTGCGCACATCCCTGTGGGTGAGCCTGTCTGAGATGACGAGAAAGAGAGGAGCGGGGACCCGGAAGGGGAACTTGGCACTATCCCACCAGTGTTGCTTGTGGTACCCAGGACTCTCAGCCTGGCCTCATGTGTCCTGTGTCCCTCTTCTGGGTCTGTGTCTGCCTCCCAGCCCACACCCATGTTTACTTTCTCTCTCCTCCGCTGCGTCAGCTCTTACAGGCTCATCCAACATTCAATAATCTCTCCTCTCAAATAATTGGAAAGAATACTACTTGATCCAGCAATCCACTTCCGGGTATATGTCCAAAAGAAATTAAAATGAGTATGTGAAGAGACACCTATGTGTATTGTAGCACTATTCACAATAGCTAAAATATTGAATCAGCCTAAATATCCTTCAAGGGATAAGTGAATAAAGAAAATATGGTACATCTACATAAGGGAATACTATGCGGCCTTAAAAAGGATGGTATTCTGACATTTGTGACAATATGGATGAATCTATATGTTGTCCCTCAGTATCCACAGGGGATAGGTTTCAGGACCCTATTTGAATACCAAAATCTGTGAGTGCTGTGTTTCTTATATTAAATGTCATACTATTTCAATATACCCTACAAACATCCTCCAACATAATTTAAATCATCTCAAAATGATTCTTAATGCATAATACACTGTAAATGCTATGTAAATAGTTGATAACCTATATTGTTTAGGAAATCATGACAAGAAAACCTCTATACATCTTCACTACAAAGTCTTTCAGGTAATTTTGATTCTAGATCCTCTGAATCTACAGATATGAGGGCCAACTGTACACAATGGAATTCAGTCACAAAAGGAAGAAAATCCTGTCATTTGCTGATGATGTGGATGAATCAGGATGACATGCAAATGTGATAAGCCAGTCACAGAAAGGTAAACACCATGTGATCTATTTCTACAGACTCTCCCCACTGAATCATCCCTGGAATGTGAGAGGAGAATGGTGGTTTCAGGGTTAAGGAGAGCTGTGTCACACAGATGTTTAAAAGACCGCCCAATTTCTGCAAAATGGACCAACCCCCTCCTCCTGGTTTCTGGGTTCCCTTAGACTCTGGATGAAAGTGTCACCTTAGGCAATAGCAATTCTGCAGAGAAACAGGTCTGGGCTGTGCTGAGCTCACCAGCACCCCCAGTGTGCATGTATGTCCCAGAGGCCTTGATGCTCAGAGTCAGCCTGGCCTCCCTGAATAGATTCTTTCCTGTATGTTTGTGTTCAATGACTGGGAATATGAAGACTGTCCATCTCTCCACCACTCTGTCAACATACTGTTGGAGGCTTTAGCCAGTGCCGAAAGGGGGGAAAAAAGGCCATGCAAGTGGTAGAAAAAATAAAACCTATTTTTAAGATGATGTGATTGTCTGTACAGAAAATTCCAAGGAACCTTCAAAACAAATGAACTCACTAACTTCAGAGAATACAAGATGGACACAAAAGTCAACTAATTACACTACTATCCATACTAATGAACATATGAAAACTGGAATTGTCACTAGTTTTAGTGATAATTGAAAATAAAACAAGCAGCACTATGAAAGCACAGGCAAAGGTTTTAATGGAAAAGTAAGAGAAAGCAGGAAGGACTCCAGCTTGAGTAGCAACTGAAGGGCACACACTCTGATAAAGAAGGGTCAGGCCAATCTCACGGCGTGCTGAGGCAGCAGATAGAGCTAGGTAGTATAGGAGACATCCTGGCCTCAGGCTCACAAGAGACAGCATAGAATGCCTTCTGGTTACTGGAGACCACAAGGCACCCTGCTCTCACCGTATTTCCTTCAGCTGAAGATGCTGACAACTGTCCAGGGCTCCACAGGCATCCTGTGTACCCTGGACCACCTCCTCACTGCATCAAGCTCTGATTCCTGGAGAGTCTCCTGATTTTATAAACTTTAAGTCACTAGGGTTGCCTCTTCCCCAGGTATGAGGGCTGCAGTTTATCCTCCTTGGAAGTGAGGCCCTTTCCGCCTGTCCAAAAGCCATGCTAGACAGTACTCAGATCCGGACCCCAGGTTCCTAGGCACACACTGCTGCAAAGCCTACAGGCCCCCTGCTCTGGATACCCAGCAACACCTGGCTCAAACCTTCACCCCTTCCCAAGTACATTATTTTGTCCTGGTTTTTCAATTTAGATCTAAAATGTCACAAAAGTCTCATATGCAGAGATAGGGCTTTCCAAGGGCTACTGGATCATGAGAGCTCTCACTTTATCATTAGTGGATTAATCCATGCTGAGATCATAGTTTGATGGCATTATTAGGATGTAATGGAAACTTAGGAGTTGGGGTTTAGTTGAAGGGAGTGGGTCCAGGCAGTGTGGTCTTGGGGCCTGTATCTTATTCGGGCCCTTTCCTCTCTGCTCCCTGGCTGCCAACTGCTTTCTTTTGCCCAGGCCCTTCCACCTTTGGCATAGGCCCACAGCAATGAAGCTGGCCACCAGTGGGCTGAAGCCATGAGCCAAGATAAGCCTTTCCTCCTTTCAGTTGCTCCCTCAATTATTTGGTCCCACAGACAAAAGTCTAACCAAGCTGACCTCCGCTGGGCTGCACACGTTTGGAGTCTCTGCTCACTTCTTTCCCGCTCCAACACATTCACACACTTCTGTACCAAAACTTTTCAAATAGGTGTTGGGTTTAAGTTACAAAACATGTTTCTTTTTACCAAATCAATAAAAATGAGTCACAGTTTCTATCCTTTTATGATCAGACTTGTGTATGTTAACTCTCTCCTCATAAACTAAGTGTATTCTCTTTATTTTTGTTTTGTTGAGACAGTATTTCACTATGCAGTTCAGACTGACCTTGAATTCACTTTGTAGCCCAGGCTGGCCTCAAGCTCACAGCAGTCCTCCTGCCTCAGCCTCCTAAGTGCTGGGATCACAGGCCTGTGCCACTACGCTTGGCAACTAAATGCATTCTAGCCCTAATTACTGAGGTTTGATGCTCAGAGGCGTATACTGCGGCTATGAGAGATCCTTTAAAACTGAGCATGCCCTGAAAATTATTGAAAGAATTTTTTTTTCTTTCCGAAAACAATTTCTGGGTTTTGTTTTTGCTTTGTTGCATTCTAGACATAGATTCAGCTACACTCCAAAACATGTGCTGCTCTTAATGAAAATTAGCATTTCCAACAAAATTGAAGAGGAGAAGACAAAATGCAGCCTCTGCGTTGTGTGTGATATTGTATATGTGCATGAAGAACTCAGAATCAGCTATTCTTTTTTCCCCCCATTCATTGTTCTTTCTCCCTCCTCTGAGCCATATGGAGCTGGGACTCCTTCATGGTTTTATCTAGGGACCTAGTGCTGAGGAAAATGCAACACTGTCATTATGTCAACATGCCGTGCAGAGTCCTGGGTTCTAGAACGTTCTTTCTGTCTTGGCCAGTGGCGAGGGTGGGCTTAAGAGGTAACTTGAGAGGAGAAAGAGCATGCCCACTGCCCCAGCCAGCCCCCACTACACACACACACGCACACACATGCACAGAGAGAGAGAGACAGAGACAGAGACAGACAGAGACACGGGCGCATGCACAACAGGTCAAGCAGCTGGGAAGTCGGTGTGACTATAAGCCACAGACTGCAGTCAGGAGCACCCCATCAGCCAATCAGAGTGCTGCCTGCCATCACACCATATAGGGCTGGCCAATGAGAACACAGCAAGCTCTATAAAAGCGGGCCCATGCAATGCGTTTGGAGGTAATCGAAGAGGCAGAAAGGAGTGTGATTCCTGTGATGGATCGCACTTAGCAGACTGCGCGCAAATCGACAGGCAGCAAGGCTCCTCGCAAGCAGTTGGCTACCAAGGTGGCCCGCAGGACTGCACTGGCCACGGGGGTGTGAAGAAGCCTCATCGTTATCGGCCTGGCGCCGTGGCGCTGCGCGAGATCCGTTGGTATCAAAAGTCTACTGAGCTGTTGATCCGAAAGCTCCCGTTTCAGCCCCTGGTGCACGAGGTTGCTCAGGACTTAAAGACGGACCTTCGCTTCCAGAGTTCGGCAGTGAAGGCGTTGCAGGAGGCCTGCGAGTCCTACCTGGTAGGGCTCTTCGAGGGCACCAACCTGTGTGCCATCCATGCCAAGCGTGTTACCATAATGCTCAAGGACATCCAGCTTGCATGCCGCATCCCCGGGGAGCGGGCGTAGGTCCCAGTGGAGCCCACAGCATCCTACTAGCACCCCAAAGGCTTTCAGAGCTACTCACTAGATCAGAAAAAGTGGCTGTACCTTGTGGTTCCCAGGCCCCAAAAGTGGCTCCTGCCCTTCTCTACTATTAAGCTTGCAAAGTAGAATGGGAGTTTCCTAGCATGAAAGCTGGGAGACCAACTGGATAGTGCGGATGACCTGAGCATAGTGATGGTAAGAATGTAAGGCTTTTCATCCCTTTGCTGCGCATTGGGATCATTTACACGTTAAAGTCTTTATTAAATCCCATAGCTTAATGCTAGCAATCTGGTGAGTTAAGTTTTTGTTGCTGCCTGCTGTGTTTTCAAGGTGCTGATTGTCAAGTGAAGGCCTGTTGTAGACAGATGCAACAGTGGGTAAGCATTCTTGTCCACTGAAAATACCAGCATGCAACTGTGCATTTCTCAAGCCAATTTATAAAAGCAATGTATATCCTGTTGATTCAAAATTCAAAAGCTCCATGAGTTAAATTAGTATTTACACAACTGGAAATCATCTCTTTTAAATTTAAGGATGTATAAATTAAAGGGTGATTTCTTGGGAGCTATCCAAAAAACTTACAATTAAGCCCACTTTGTTCTAATTTTTTAAGCTCTGACCTTCATTATTAAACTAAATTAGTTCATCTGGGTGTCATTCCTCTTCATGAAGTCCTTGTCTTGGCAACCTTTGGCTCAGTGAAGAGCTAACCCTAGGTAACTGCTGGATGGCACCGGGGAGAAAGGATTTGGGCAACTAACTCCATTCAGGTAAACTGGATGCATTTTAGCATGATATGATTTCATTAGAAAATTTGCCTTTTCCTGGGAGGGCCAGCCCCTTGCGAAGGGGATCCCTATCATCCTGTTCTTCATATCCAAGAGTCTGGCCTTCTATGTTCCACTTAACATATGCTGAGTTTCCACAATTTCACGGGCAGAGCAGTGCTTAAATGAGTGAGAGGAAGAGAAAGACGGGTATGTGAGGGTTGATTTGTTGAGGACTAAGATGGAGAAAAGCAAAGGAGCAAGGAGAAAGCAATCCAAGCAAAGGAGCAAGAAGAAAGCAATCCAAGTTCTGAATCATATGCATGAGTACTCAGGGAAGCCTTCCCAACACACAAATCTGAGTCACATGCAGAAGGGCTACAACTCTGTGCTCTCTTGGCAGAGAAATGTGGCTGGCATTACCCCCAGACAGCAGGACAGGACCGACAAAGCCAGGCATTTGCGGGTTTGCAAGCAACTCACTCGGCTGGTCTTCAGGTGACTCCTTGACTCTCGAAGTGCTGACACCTGGGCCGGGTGGCTGCCAGCAGGAATGTGCCAGGTGGGCACCCATGGGTGATGCCATGACCTCTGGTGTCTTGGCATAGCTAGGATAGCTCAGGAAATGTTTCCTAAATATAAGTAAGTACTATCATCTGGTGCAATGCAATCCAATGAAGTTTTGTTAAATGCTTTTGGGTGTCTGTCATGAAAGCCAGTTTAGTCTCTCACCTGGAAATATGTTTTATTTTATAAAACAGTAAAACTGTTGAGATTTGAACCTTCATCTGTGTATCCAACCAGTACCAATGATGCATTATGGGATCAGCCTTAGTATAGAGTGTTTGTACAAATAATGAGTTGTTCTAAAGATCAAAGGCTGAAATTCTACAAATAATAGGAAGGAAGGAGGCCTGGGCACTGAGTAGCAGATTATTCCACCCCAGGATGTGGCAGTTAGGCATAGGATTACTCTGAGCTAAAGACATCTAAAAACCAGCAGCTGCAAAACAGCATGCTGACCTTCCTTTTTCCTCCTGAAAGCAGGAGCTGACACTCCCAAAGGTGCCTTCCCTATACCAGGGGAATGACAGTCTTTACAACCAAAGATGGGCATTCCAGAGTGACAGAAATCTGTACAAACAGTCCTTGTTAAAATTGTTTTTTATCTTCATTTAGTCTCTTCATATATTTTAGTTGCTTCTTCACAAAATACTGCTTTTCTTACCTAGGAAACATATGCTTAGGCCTAACCATTGCTTGGGTATTCACTTTCCTGTGAAGGGTCGCTTACACATGTGAAAATGTAATTTATGTTCTTTTCTCCTATTAATCTATTTCATCTTTTCTTGATCAATTGGGGCTGCAAATAGTGGGTGGCTTATAAACAGCAGAAATCTGCTTCTTATCGCTCTGGCATTTGGAAGTCAGAGAAGTCAGAGGCAGATTCCCTGTCTGGTAAGGGCTGCTTCCTGGGTCACAGCCAGCCTTTCTCACTGTGTCCCTGCAAGATGGAGGTTGAGGGGCTCTCTGAGAATCCCTTTTATGAGAGCACTGATTCATTCTCTTGATGAAGCACCCTCAGGAACTCATACCTATATCCCACAGCTAACACCTTCTCTTCAGGGGCACAGAGTGAGGATTGCAAAACAGAAATTTTGCGGGGTACAAACATTTAGACCAACCTAATAAACCAACAACTAATTCTCAGGCAGAATTGTAAGTCCTTTTTTTTTTCTTGGTGTCAGGAATTGAATTCATGACCTTGAGCTTGCCAGGCAGGTGCTATGCTACTGAGCTACATCCCTGGCACAACTGGAAACCCTAAGGGCAAAATTTTCCCTCCCCTATAGCATGATCTGTAGCTACAAGCTAGAGAAGAACTACTCAAACAGACCAAGAAACATATTCGATAGGAAAACATATGTATGAGCTAGAATTCTAATGAAACTCAAGAGTATCATGTTTCTAGTATTAAGTCAGCAGTTAATAGCAATAGGGCAGGGAGCAGGGAGGGGAACGTGGTGCTTCAAATGTACCTATGGTTTCTATCTTCAACTGGCAGGTGGCTCAGGATGTGAATTTTCTCATTCTTGGTATCTTATACATACTATGTCCTGGGGTAGGCATTTACTACTTCATAAACGGAGTATAAGAAACCATATGTGTCTGCCTGTATCGTGAGACTTTATCCTCTTCAAGGGCATATTACATTATGCATACGTATGTGATCTTTAATCCCTGAAACATGGAGAATCTATTGAGGGAATAAAAAGATTTCTGGATATTTGCCAAAATTTGGAAGCAACCAGTAGTTGACTGGATAAACTAGGGTAATCCTGACAATAAAGCATTACTTGTCAACAAAGAAAAATGAGCCATGGGGCCATGAAAAAAGATGGAGGAAATCTAAATGCATATTAAGTAAAAGAAGTCAGTCTGAAAAAGCTACATTCTGTGTGATTCCAATCATAGAACATTCTGGAAAAGGCAAAATAATGAGTGGTTACAGAGTAGGGAGGAAAGATGACCAGGTGGAGTATAGGGGACTTTCCAGGCAGTGAAACTCCTCTGCATGACACTGGAATGTGGACTTGTGTCACCAGTCCGCGGTGTTAGACACCAAGAATGGGCCCTGGATGCTGGGTGAAGATGACACGTCACACTGTTTCCCTCCAGTAGGAGATACTGGCAATAGGCAAGGAGTAACAGGAAATCTGTGTTTCTTTCTCCCAAATTTGCTTAACCCTAAAACTGTTCTAAAAAATAAAGTTGAGTTTTGTCTTCTGATTTAGAAGCCCCATTTGCAGGCCATGAAGAAGGGAAGGCCACAGCAGGGCCCGATGGCACTCTGAGGAGGGTGTGGGACATCAGCAGCTGGCGCTGCCACTGACTCAAGCAGCAGGAGGACACTGGGTCTTCTGACTCTCCCTAGGGGCCAATTCCAGGTGAAAGCATGTATCAATCAATGCTTACAAGACTGGCTTACAATGGCCACCCACAGAGTCAGATGTGGAAGAGTACAGAGGGGCTGTCTGCTCACTGGTGCTCTAAAGGATCTAGTCAAAGGTCTGGAGCTCACCTTAGTGTCTCATTAGACTCTGTATCAGGAGGCTGAAGAGTCTGCACTGAAAGTCAAGAGATTACATCCAAGGTGAAGGTGAAGACTGGAGCTCTTCTGAAGAAACGGAAGTCATCCTTCCTTCTTTCTTTCCCTTTTGTTCCATTCTGGTGATAATGCTCCCTAGGGTGGGTCTTCCACACTCAGAACTATACTGAGCCAGTTTAGCTGGGTGTTTTCTACTCAAATTGACACAATCCATTAATTATCACAGGGTGCCAGCCCTCCCCATGCCTTCTCCAGCAGCAGCCTTCCCCCTAGTCCTGGGGCCATGCTGAGATCTCTACCTGTGATGCTCTCTCCATTCCCTGGGGAGAAAGATCTGCTCTGACACAGACCATGATCCAGTGGGCCTGATGGGACTGTCATAGAAATTCTATGACCCTTGTGCCACCTGGCACATGGTGGGTACTTGGCATATCTGCTGACCGTCAGGCCTGAACTGTGTCCATGGGACCACAGAATGTGACCATTTGAAATGGCGTACTTAAGATAAATGAGGCCCTAATGCAACAACTGGTGTTGTCATAAGAGAAAGGACACAGGGGAAAGACAGCACCTGCAAACCAAGGAGTAGGAGCTCAGAGGAGCTGTTACCCAACCTGAGCAAACTAACATGCTATCCTTACAATTAAAATGAGCACTTGGAGAGTTTTCTGTATGCACGATGTCGTTTTAGCCATGTGGTTTTTCCGCACTTCTCTCTTAGGCAGAAGACTCACCAGATGCACACTCTGTGCCAGAGTCAGTAGAACCTCAGGGACTTGTGTCTTTCCTTGGGGACCCTCTGCCTATCATGGTTTAGGTAACACATCCAAATCTACTTGTGTGTCTGTCTTTTTGAAAAACTCTTTCTGCTCCAAAGGCATATTGACCCTTCCCTTTTAACTTTCTGTATTTTAGGAAACTTTGACATCCAACCCCAGGGCTACACAATTCCCAGGGACAGGAAACAACCCATCAGGATTTTCAAATTTATATTCAAACCTGCTGTTAGCTTCCAGTCACTACAACAAAATAGGAAGGGTTTATCTTGGAGCTAGCTCAGTTTCAGAAGTCCCAGTCCTGGTTGCCTAGCTCCACTGTTTGGGGGCTGTGGGGCTCAGAAGTCAGGAGAGAGCTGTGCTAGAGATCGGCCCGCACCTGGCGAGCAGGGAGCAGAGACAGGAAGGCGCCAGGGTCCCAACACCCCTTCAAGGTCGCACCCCAATGACCTAATTCCCCTCCACCAGGCCCCGTCCTCTACAGGCCCCCCTCAATAGCACCACAGGAGACTGGGAGAACCCAGCAAGGCGTTGTCGGCACCTAAAGCCAGGCTGTTCACACTAGCACACCTTGGACAGAGCAGACCGGTGCGGTTCAGCTTCCCACGGTCCGGATTCCCTGACCCCAACCTCGCCTAGCCTCAACCTCAGCTTCCCATCTGTGTCTTCTCCCTAGGGTTAGGATTAGGGTTAGGATCAGTTTAGGATGAGGCTTGGGGAGCGCTGTAGGTGGCACCTGGATCAAAGCCACCTGTGCAAGGTAAGAACCTCGCCTACCTGCCCAGGTTCGCACTCCCTCCCGGCTGGCCGGTGCGCCACGAGCAGCGCCTCTCTGGGACCCACGACGAGGGCGCAGCTGACCTGGAGGGCCGGGCTCGCCCGCCACGCCCCGCGCCCTGCCTCCGCTTCCCTCCGGCCAGGAGGACCCCCCTCCAACTCCAATCCGCCCCCCCCACGCCCCCATTGACGCCACAAAGCCGGGTCCCAGCTGATGCGGTCGCCCCAGTTCCGCCGCACACACCCAGCCTCTCGGCCCCCGGGAGCCCCAGCGCCCGGAGCCCCTCTCGGCGTCCTCCCGCTTTGGTCGCCATGCTGACCCGGGTACCCCGGATGAGCCCACACAGACAGAGGGACAACTCCCGGGACTAGGCGCCCGAGCCCCAGGACCGCGCCCTCTCTGGACGCCAGGACGTTGTGGTTTAGGAGTGTGGAGGGGCGGAGGGGCAGCACTTGAAGTTTAAAGGTTCAAACCCACCTCTGACCTGCCCCTCAAAGACCCCGGGAAGAAGGGGAAGGCTGCAGTGAGTATTCAGAGTGCCCGTGACCACAGGTGTCTATGCATGCATGCATGTTTTGTGTGTGTACGTGTTTACACAGGTGCACACGTGCATCTATATGTGTGTGTTCAAGCTCATGTTCATGTGTGCCTGTATGTATGCGCACTGCATGTACATTTGTGCGCCCCCTGTAGGTGTCTGTGTGTGCGCCTGTGTTTTCGTAGTTTTGTGCCCCTGCAGGAATGGTCCTGTGTCTTCACTATGCTGCATCTCCCTTCCTAATGGGAAAAATCAGCTTTCCTCCTTCCCTCCTATTTTCCTCTGTTGACTGACAGGAAGGTAGAGACATGAAGGCACCAGGGTCCCAACACCCCTTCAAGGTCGCACCCCAATGACCTAATTCCCCTCCACCAGGCCCCGTCCTCTACAGGGGAAGTTTAAGTTACTCTGACACTTGTTGAAAGGCTCTTTCTCAGAGTGTCTTGCAGTGGGCATGTCATCCCAGGGCAGGGATGGGGTTTAATGCCAAGGGCTAAGGCAGCTGGGGACAGAGAGAAAGCTTGGAGGGCAGAGGCTTCTCCCTGAACGGATCTAGCAGGTGCACAGGGTCTAGGCTTCAAAGGAGGAGTGAGGACTTGGCCAGGCATCCAGCAAGCTGATGGCGGGGTGGAGACTGGGCCACGCTTTGTGTACAGCCGGAGGGGCCTGGTTGCATCTGGTCAAAGGGTCTTTGCGGTTTCCAGGAGGCATTTCTGCTTTGTTATTAACAAAACTGAAGGAGACAGTGTGGGCCCCCAACACAATCCTCTGTAAGGGGTCAGCATCCCGAAAGCCTGCAGAGCCTAGGTCTGGGATTTGGCACTAACCATGAGGTCCCAACCTCCTCCCAGTGGAAACCCAGGAGCCATGGATGCTGTGGAACTGGCCAGAAAGCTGCAGGAGGAGGCCACGTGCTCCATCTGCCTTGACTACTTCACGGATCCTGTGATGACTGCCTGTGGCCACAACTTTTGCCGCACCTGCATCCAGACAAGCTGGGAGAAGGCGAAAGGCAAGAAGGGGAGGAGGAGGCAGAAGGGGGTCTTCCCCTGCCCCGAGTGCAGAGAGATGTCGCCCCAGCGGAACCTGCGGCCCAACCGCCTGCTAACCAAGGTGGCTGAGATGGCACGGCAGCACCGTGGGCTGCAGGAGCGGGACCTGTGTCCAGCGCACCAGGAACCCATCAAGCTGTTCTGCCTGGAGGACCAGAGCCCCATCTGCGTTGTGTGCAGGGAGGCACAGGAGCACCGGGAGCACAGGGTGCTGCCTGTGGAGGAGGCCCTGCGGGAGTACAAGGTGGGGGGCAAAGGTCAGAGGCTGGGGAGGGGCTGTTCAGGGGACAAGTGGCCCTCTGCCCCAAGGGTAGGAATGTGTTTGTGGGTGCGGTGTATCACCCACAGACAGGACCCCACTGTGGAAGGGCACTGTGGCTCCTAGGACAGAACCAGTGGGTGACAAGGCCTCCAAAACCCAGGCCCACTCTGACCGTTGACAGCTTCAGCTCCCTGAACCCTTTTCCTGGTGTGGCACTGAGGGAGGACTATCCTTATGTGGATGAGGAGAAAACTGAAGACTGACAAACACGCCCCGGGGTTCTGATGAGGGTGGGTAGCCAGGTGGAAAAGTGACTGGAAGAGGGTCAGTTTCACAGGGTCCATTTGTACAGATTTCTCGGTTCAGGCTCTGTCCTCAACCATGAGGACAAATTGCTTTTCTCCTGGTACAGCTTGTACTGGTGGCTTTTCTCCTTCCAGCTTTTAAGAAGAAAATGGGAAGGAGAGAGGCTTGCAACTGTAGGTTTTTTTTCAAGTGCTCAAAATAACTCAACTGAAATACTGAAATATTTCAAACACTCAAAATATTTCAGCTCAAAATAATCCAGTGCTGAAGTGGTGGTGTTGTGTTCTGAACTGTTTCACTGACAGAGGAGCTTGTTTAGGGGTGGCATATCTGACCCCATGCTTACTTACCATGGTCTTTGGGGTTGATGCAGCCTCAGAGGCCATAATCTTGCAGGAGATGTGGGCACCCCTGGTCCTGAATCCTGTGGTTCTGTGTGCCCACAGTTGAAGCTGGAGGAGGACATGGGGTACCTGCAGGAGGAGGTGAGGAAAACAGAGAAGCTGCAAGCCAAGGAGGAGCAGACCTTAGCCCAGTGGCAGGTGGTTCTCCAAAGCCCCCTTCCAATCCCTGTTCCAGTCCCTCTGGGTTTCCATCCCCTCTTCCCATGCGTGGGAGATGCTGATAAAGGTGTCCCAGTCTTCAGCATCACCCCTTACCCTACCCCTGCTACAGAGAGAAAAACATTTCCTCAGATCCCCTGGGCTCAGGGGCTGGTGCAAGAGTTAAGCTGACAGACAGGTGAACAGGAGAGAAAGGTGATTTTTCATTCTGTTGGCACACAGGCTGAGGGAAACCTTACACAAATGTGAGACTCAGACGGTGGAGCTTTCTGGACCATCAGAGGCTTGGCAGAGACACTGTGTTGGCCAGGCTGGCTTGGAACTCCTGGGACCATGCCATCCTGGAAGTGCTGGGCCACAGGGCAGAACCACACCCAGCAAAGGGTTTAGTTGGTTTCACATTCAGTTCTAGAATCAGGAGACTCTTGTTCCACACAAAATGGCAAGTAGGCTGAGCTGAGAAGGGGGGCTTCAAAGACAGAGCTACATGACCAGAGTCAGTACAAGAAGCAGGTTGGTCATTTCATAGTTGGCATCGTTTTAAGGCAGGAAGAGGGAGAACAACAGGAAAACAGTGATTAGTGAGCACCAGGTTATCCCAGGTTAGTTTTGCATAAGGATTAGCTTTGTGATCCATTGGAAGTGGCCAGGTGCTATCTCTGAGCCTGGCTTCTGGAAGTTCAACAGCTCTGGAACCTCTCTTCTTACTTGCCTTCTGGTCTGCAGGGGACCAGGGCAGGAGTCCAATCCAAAACAGTGGCCTCCTATGGTTTTTAGGGAATATACCTAAAAACCTTTGGGAGGGGCCCCCGAGTCCCACCAGTACCAGGGCACACAAATGTTAGGGTGTTGGACATTGCCCCTTGGGCCCAGTGCATTGCTCCTCTGAGTAGCCCCTGGTTTCCACCTAAAGCTCCCAACCCTGGCCAGGTCCCAGGGGCCCAGGGAGGTACAGTGTGACCCAGAGCACTACTGTCCTGTGCAGGGGCCACGTCTGACATGGGTGTGGGGTCCCTGCACCCACAGGACAGAGTGAAGGACCGGAGGGAGAGGATTATGGTGGAGTTTGAGAAGGTGGCACTGTTTCTGGCAGAGGAGGAGCAGAGACTCCTCCGGGCCCTGAAGAGGGAGGAGGAGGAGACAGCAATGCAGCTTCGAAACAGCAAGGCCACCCTGGACCAGCAGCGCCGCTCCCTGGACTTGCTGCTGCTGCAGCTGGAGGATCAGAGCCTGCGAGAGCCTCTGCAAATGCTGCAGGTAAGGCCACCTCACGGGCTCTGCCCCAGAATGAGGCACAGGGAAACCTGTGGTTGGAGTGCACAGGACAGGGAGAAGGAATGCAGCCCAACAGTAGGGTTTGGGGAACATCCCTTTCCAAATTCCTCGGGCCAGAAGCATCTCAGATTTCAGATATTTCCAGATATCTGCAGAGACATCATGAGACATCTTGGGGCTGAGACCTGTGTTTAAAAAGGAAATCCATTTGTTTCATATGCGCAGAGCTGCAGGAGACATAATATAGTTTCCTTGCTGTGCCTGAATTTTGACTGCAACTTTCCCACAGATGGGGTGTGGAATGTCCCACAGCCTTACTCATCAGGTCAGCCCTCAAAAAGTTTCAGATTTTGGATCAGGGATCTCAACCATATTACAAGCTGAGAGGGTTAAAGACCAGACCCTGAGTGTGTAAAGTCTTGGGGGCTGGAGGCTGAGATCAGGGTACGGCGGGGTTGATCCTTCCTGTCCTCACAGGGCTGCCTTCTGCAGGTGTGTGTACCCTGATCTCCTCTGATGAGGACACTCCTCAGGTTGGATTGGAAACCCCCTGAATGAACTCACTTAGCCTAAGCTAGCCTTTTGATGGTTCAGCTTGATCACGGTGTAAAAGAAATATGCTTTCAGTAGAAACCAAACTTCAGATTTTGAATTTGGATCTTTCTGGATAGCAACAGGTGAACAACGCTCCATCTCAGCACTGTTGTGCACAAGTGCCGTCCAGCTAACTAGGGTGCTTTCCAGCTAAGTGAGGTCAGGGCTATTAGGCGCACCTTCATCTTTTGAGGGTTGCACCTTTCAGTGAGTTTATCAGCACACAGCTCCATTTTAAGTGGAGGGTCATGTGTACATCACACCCTGAGATCCTGGGGGTTAGGACCTATGAAATGGGGGCGTGAGTTTTGGAAAGGACAAACCACAGTATGGCCATTGAACATCCTAATTCCCATGCTGCTTCCAGGCCAGGGTGTTAATGTGGTTGGGAACTGCCCATTCCCAGAATCCCTCCAAACCCAGGGCCCTTGAGCTGTTATCCCAGCCTCTCTCCCTCCCCAAACCTCAGCCCCCATTTCTCCCTGACAGCTCTGTGCATCCAGCTGGTCTGTACCCACCTCGGACTAAAAAAAGAGGAAGCTCCCCCTTATCTACTCTTTCCAAGGTTTCAGTTACGTGTGGTCATCCTCAGCCGAAGAAATACTAAGTAGAAAACTCCGAATTAAACAATCATAAGCTTTAAATTGCATGCAATCTGAGCAGTGTGATGAAATCTCACTGTCCAGCTGCATCCCAGCCACTTTGCCCAGCGACCCACACCATATCCACTCCCTGTCCACTAACCACTCAGTTACCAGATGGACAGTGCAGTGAAGCTGGCCATTCAGACATGGCAAAGAGAAGCTCTAAAGAGCCTCAAGGGAAAGGAGAACAGCTCTCCTGGGCCTTCCAGCCTTTTCAGGCATCTGGCTGTGGGCTGAGGATGGATGGAGTCAGGGTAAGCCCCAGGGCCTCCTGAGGGGTGCAGGAGCCCAGATTTTGGTAGAAATGACATTTTTAACCTGTCCCAGAAAGTGGACAACAGAGATGGCTTTAAGAAGGACATGGTGGGGGTAGTTGGGACCTGAGCCCATTCTCTGCTCTCCTCCCCGTCTTCTGCAGGATATGAAGGGCACCCTGGCCAGGTACGCAGTCACCAGCGGTGGAGGTGGTGGCAGAGGTGGGCCTGGGAGGGCTCTGTGTGGGGCCAGAAGGGACAGTGAGCCTGTGTCCCCTGGAGGAAGCGCAACCTGAGTGTGCAGTGTCCAGAGGTGGCTGTCCCCGCGGTGGTCAGGACTGTATGCAGGGTTCCCGGGCAGAGAGACGTGCTCAGGGGCTTCCAAGGTAAGTGGGGCCTGGGGCCTGGTACCTTATAATGCCCTCCCCTTCCCCCAGATGCCACACACCTGTGGGGCTTTGCACTGCACTGCCCTTTGACGGGACACAGAGCCTGTGTTTTGTACGCAGCTTTCCTCCTCCTCCCTCCTACTGGATTAAGCCTGTGGTCCTGCTCACCCTCTCTCAGGGTCCTATCAGCAGCCACAGGTAGCTGGGGCACGGGCCGTATGTCTAGTCTCCCTGTGCTACTGAGGAGAAAGGGTGTGTGGGGGTGGGGCAGAGAGGCCATTAGCCTCTAGCTGCCGCCTGCCCCAGTCTCTAATTCTGACTGGCCCCACCTTCTCACCTGGCCCTGTCCCTGTCTGCAGAGGAAGTGATGCCGGATCCCACCTCAGCATACCCCTACCTCCTCCTGTATGAGAGCCGCCAGCGGCGCTACCTCAGCCCCCTGCCTGAGGCCAGCACTGCCTGCGGCAGGGACCGGTTCCTGGCCTACCCCTGCGCCGTGGGCCAGCAGAGTTTCTCCTCAGGAAGGCACTACTGGGAAGTGGGCATGAACCTCCTCGGGGACGCACTCTGGGCCCTGGGCGTGTGCAGAGACAACGTGAGCCGAAAGGACAGAGTGCCCAAGTCCCCTGAAAATGGGTTCTGGGTGATACAGCTGTCGAAGGGGAAGCAGCCACTGTCCCCGGGGCCCACCACGCCTGTCACACTGACTGAGCCTCCTAGCCACATAGGCATCTTCCTGGACTTCGAGGCTGGGGAGGTGTCCTTCTACAGTGTGAATGACGGGTCCCACTTGCACACCTACTCCCAGGCCGCCTTCCCTGGGCCTCTGCAGCCCTTCTTCTGCCTGGGAGCACCCAAGTCCGGCCAGATGGTCATCTCCACAGTGACCATGTGGGTGAAGGGGTAGAGGCTGGCTGGGATGCCCTGATCTCTGCCAGCGGCAAAGCTTGGGCGCAGCACAGAATCACAATTAAAGTGGTGAAATGTTGAGACTACACTGACAGGTGCTTCATAAAGGGAACTGGGAAGACACTTCCAAGGGGTCAGATTTCTAAATACACAACTGTACCCGAAACTCAGTGTGGTCTAGTTTTGTTGTTTGTTTTGCCACACTGGAGCCTGAACACGAGTTTTTTGCACCTGAGCTACATCTCTTTATTTTCTACTTTAAGACAGAGCCTAAGTCGCTAAATTGCCTAGGCTGGGTTTGATTTGGGGATCCTCCTACCTCAGCTTTTCAGATGCTGGGAATCACCCTAGCCAAGTGTGGCCTATTTTTTATCTCTGCCTCCTGCCTCAACTTCTTGGTTCCTGGATTCCTTGGTACGATGCTCTGGCTACTGGGTCCTTGAGAGGGTGCCCTGAACTCTAAAAAGCCACACCTGGCCTCCCCAGCACCTTAAAGTTGCATGTGAGGAGCAAACTCCAAATGATGGCGAGGATAATTTGGGAATCTCCTCTCCCCGACCTCTAGCATACTTTTCTAACACCCCCACTCCAAGAGGCCCTGGCTCCCAGCACCCTAAAAGACCAGACTAAAGGTACTCCCTTCCCAGGAGAGGGGTTCCCACCGACACAACCGTGGCCCCACAGTCCAGCCCGCTCCGCAGGTCGCTCGGATCCAGAGAGGCGCGGACGCGGAGGTTTCAGGCGCCCTGGGGTTGTCCAAGATCCCGGTGTCACTGTAAGCCCCGCGCCGCAAGCTTTGCCAAGAGCGCGACCCCTGGGACCCCGACGCGCGCTTGCGTTCTGCCGGCCGCGCGCCACGTGACCCACCGCGGCCAATCCGAGACAAAAGCGGGTCGTCCCAAAAAAAAAAAAAAAAGAAAATGCGCTTCCGGCTTCCGCCCGGGTTCCTCTTCCTGCCGGCGTCCGAAGCCTGTGCCCTCGGGATCCCGCGTTCTCGGAGTTGGGAGTCCGGCGCTCGCCATGGCTGCCCCCGACCTGTCCACCAACCTCCAGGAAGAGGCCACCTGCGCCATCTGCCTCGACTACTTCACCGACCCCGTGATGACCGACTGCGGCCACAACTTCTGCCGCGAGTGCATCGGGCGCTGCTGGGGCCAGCCCGAGGGCCCCTACGCCTGCCCCGAGTGTCGCGAGCTGTCCCCGCAGAGCAACCTGCGCCCCAACCGCCCGCTGGCCAAGATGGCCGAGATGGCGCGGCGCCTGCACCCGCCGTCGCCGGTCCCGCAGGGCGTGTGCGCCGCGCACCGCGAGCCTCTGGCCGCCTTCTGCGCCGACGAGCTGCGCCTGCTGTGCAGCGCCTGCGAGCGCGCGGGCGAGCACTGGGCGCACCGCGTGCGGCCGCTGCAGGACGCGGCCGAGGAGCTCAAGGTGCGCCCGGTGAGGGGTGCGAGGGGCCAGGGGATCAGTGGGGTTGCCGGGGACGGGGTGCTGAATACGCCGCTGGTGCCAGACCTGGGTTGGGGCCTAGGGCACAGTTCAGAGCTGACCGTCCACCAGCCAGGGTAGGACACAAAGTCTGCCCTAGGCAGAGACTCTGGTACTCCCTGTCCTCAGCCTGTGCTACAAGGGCGGGGATGCTGGTAAGGATGCTGGTAGTTCAGGAAATCACCGTGCCTGTGTGAGGCTGGGACGCTGGGTGCTTCAGGTCGGGGGGAGGTGGAGCCCCAGCAGGGAAGATGCAGGGGTCGGTAGAGGAGACAGGGTAATGGTGTCAGCTATGGGTCAGGAAGGGAGCCCCGGCTGGAGAATCAGAAAGTGGCGCTCAGAGCAGCTGGCCCTATATAGACTCTCAGGGAATCTGTCAGAACTCTGAGGGTTGTGGGCTGAGACCTCCCTTGGGACCAGGGCTTGAGTCCTGGGAAAGCCCCTGTGGGGGCGGAGCTGAAAAGATGAAGACAGAGCCAGTGCATCTCTACCCTGCCTCTTCCAGGGTTGTCTGGCTCTGTGTGGGACTGGGGGCAGAACCGCTGGTACCACAGGCTGCCGCCCACCCTCTTTGCTTAGAAACCAGAGAGCCTGGGCCATGACCTGCTGATGTGCCTGGCTTTTCTTCTCCGTACTGGGGAAGAGTGCCACTGCACAGCACCTCCAGCCCATAAACTCTGCCTCAGCTCAAGTTTTGCATTACAGCCAGGTTGGGGTGCATTGGGTGAGAAGTGGGTCAGATCAGCTCGTAGCTGTGGCTGTAGCTGGAGTCAGTACTCACTTGTGAGTCCCCATAGAAAGAACTTCTGAATCTAAATTTAAACAGCAATACCCTTTGCTGGAGTTTCAACACAAAGTGGCTTAGATGCACGCAGCTGGGCCTATAGACAGAGCCCTGTGGGTTTTCTTCTTGCTGACTCTCCATGAAGTGCTGTCCACACTTAGTCAGCCTGCCAGCTCACCCTCCCACCACCAGGAACTGAGATGGTGCAGAAAGCCCGAGGGGCTCCCAGGGCTGACCCAGGAATCTCATAGGACAGCACTTAACCCTTTCTGTTTCAGGAAAGAAGAAATTTCTCCTCTATTGTGTTGGGTTTATTGTCTGGCATCTGAAAATTAAGCTGACACAGGACACTTACAGAAAAGTTTTATTCATATTTTAAATTGATTATAAATAGCGGCTTGTGAAATATCCAGAGACACAATTAGATTTGGGCTTACATGCATACCCAGCTGCCTGGCTTGTGCAGCAGGCATCTGGAAGAAAGAGAAGGGGTGGGTAGTATAGGAACAAAGGGACGGGAAGTATAGGGACAAAGACAAAGGGAAGGGGGAGGCAAGGGAGAGCCCAGGCCTGCCCACAAGACCTGGATGTCCAAACTCCTGACCATACTCAGGGTGGGAAGGCTCAGCTGTGACCGTCTCACCATAAGGAGATGCATTCCACTGGAAGTCACCCTGTCGGAGTGGTGCATTCTGGCTCCTTACATCCTAGTCTGTTGGTTTGTGTTGTGTTTTTGTTTTACTTTTCAGTACTGGAGATTGAGTGCAGGGCCTTTGCACCAAGCTTGCGTCCACAGCTCATTTTTTAATTTGGAGACAGGGTCTGAGTCCCTCAGTTGTCCAGGCTGGACTAGAACTTTCGATCTTCCTGCCTCAACCTCCAGAGTGCTGGGATTACAGGTGTGCCACCATCACACCCAGGTCCTAATCCATTCTTTAACATGCTGTTTGTGATCCTCAGAATTGAAAATTTTTAAACCCTTTGGAGAGATGGAGGTGTTTTAGGAGAAGCTTGGAGGTGCTAGACTGAAGGTGTGGATGATGGGGTCATGATGGGAGCTAGGCCTGCATTTCCAGGGTAGGGGGTCTGAGGACAGGGACCATAGCTTGTGTGAGAGCTGATCCCAGACAGGATGACAGGCTGGGCTCCCCTTGGTGGGCTCCTTGTGCTGACCAGCAGCCCCAACGTTGCTCACTGGACAGACTCCCAAACCCCCACACCTTGCCTGTCTAAACCGTGAATGGAGATAACAGGCACAGCCAGCACAGGGCCTGTGAGGCAGGGAACTCGAGCAGAGCCACCCAGTTGGCTTGTTTGAACTCTGTGGTCTGCACGGGACCAAAACGAAATGGGAATGAGAAAGGGGATCCAGGGAGAACAATGCAGCCATGGCCTGAGGGTAAAGTGAGAAGTACAGCGAGATGCTGCAGGGCTGGACAGGAGACCTGGTGGGGCTGGGAGGCAATGTGGGACAGACCCCCAGCCGGGCCCCTTTGAGGGTGGGCACTGCTAAATCAAGGCTGGAGGGCAAGGTTGGGGCTCAAGATGTCATCTTGGGGTATCCTGTGGAGCAGACCAAGAGGCTCTCAGCCTCTTAGCTCTCAAACCCTGCCTCCTAGCACCATCTCCTTGGGTTGGGAGATGGGGACATGGGCATTAGCAGCTGCCTGTGGTGCAGCCCCCCATGCTACCAACTGGAAGAAGGAGGGGAGGTTGTGTGGAGAGGGGAGTGCTGGGTCCTTCAGAGACAGCTTGGGGCAAGGTAGCTGGGTGCTCTTGGGGGCCTCATGACTGTCTGCGCTGTGTTCCCAGGGGAGGCTGGAGAAGTCACTGGAGCACCTGCGGAGACAAATGGAGGATGCACTGCTGTTCCAAGCCCAGGCTGAGGAGACCTGTGCCTTGTGGCAGGCAAGGGCTCCCCCAGGGTCCTGTGGGGCAGGGCAGGAGGACAGGATGCCCACTGGTGTCCATTTGGGGCCAGCAGTCACAGGAAGGCCACCTAGGGTGGGTGAGAGGAGGGAGGCTGAGGGTGCGTGCAAGTGAGTGCTTGGGAGAGTCTACTCCCAAGTGTCCATCCTGGAGTCCTGACATGCTTGGAGTGATAGATTTGTCATAGGGGAACCAGGGAATTCCGGGAAGGGTGGGGTTTGGGGAGGCCCTGGGTGGTTGGGGTAAAGGACAGAGGTATTGGACCTTGGCATACCATTTGGAGTCAGCGTGGCCCCAGGAGGTAGATTCAAGGTCTGACCAGCACTAGGTATCAGGTTTGGGGTTTGGCTGGTGCAGAATGATGGCTTGGGATCTTCTGGGCCCATGTGGCAGGTTTGGGGTACACATGGCCCCAAAATGATTTGGGCTTGGGAAGCTCCATGTAGTTGATTCGGGGTCTTGCTGGGCTCAGGGCTGGGTCTGGTGTCCGGGCAGCCCCAAGGGGTAGGTTTGGGCTCTAGAGAGCCCTGAGTGGTCAGCTGTCTTCTGGGCAGCCCTGAGTGGCAGATTTTATGTCCAGACAGCTTGGAGTGGTAGATGTGGGGTGCAAGCAGCTCCAAGAGATGGGTCTTGACCTTACTGTCCCTTTGGCCCTGTAGAAGATGGTGGAGAGCCAACGACAGAACATGCTTGGCGAGTTTGAACGTCTGCGGCGCCTGCTGGCTGAGGAAGAGCAACAGCTGCTGCAAAGGTTGGAGGAGGAGGAGCTGGAGGTGCTGCCCCGGCTGCGGGAGGGCGCTGTGCGCCTAGGCCAGCAGAGCGCCCAGCTGGCCACACTCATCACTGAGCTAGAGGGCCGCTGCCAGCTGCCTGCACTGGGGCTGCTGCAGGTGAGCAGAGGGGGGCCTCAAAACTCTGCTGGGATGTCCCTCAAAACTCTAGGCACACTGTGTACCCCAGGACACATAGGCACATCCCCCATCACCCTGTCTCCTCCCGTTGGGGCTAACTGACTTGGTGCCCCAAACCAGAACCCTTGGGGCGCACTCCTCCATGGCCTGGCAGCCAGCCAGGTGGTGCTAGACAGCATGGCTGTCTGCGTGGGGCTAGTTCACCCTTCTGTGGGATCCTTGCCTCAGTCTCCCCACCTTGCAGTGAGTGTGGGTGGGATTGAGAGGCCCCATGCAATCTGGAGGTGTCCACTGGCCCTTCCCAGAGCTCAGCTGAGTGTTTCACCCCACCATCACCATGAAACTCAATCTGTGCCTGCCTGTAGACCTCGAACTGGGTGGCGCTGACGCCCATGTGGGAACAAGGCTGTGTGCAGGGGTCAGCCCTGGGAAGGAAGGGTGCTACGTGCCTTGCCAGGGCCTTCCTGTGGGGGTGACCACTGCAGGGAGCTCTGGACCCAAAAGAGGTCTTGGGCCAGAAGAGGTATCCTGGGATGGTGACTTCTCTTACGGCTCAGGAGGTTGGGGCCGGATGGAGAGAGCAGAGGAATGGGTGGGAGGGGACCCAGGTCAGGAAAGCAGGGCCAGGTCAATAAAGGTGTCCAGAAGGCTGAGGAGCCCTGGGAAGCTGGAAGATTTTATATTTTAAATTTTTTTTTAGGTTTTTTTGCTTGTTTTCATTTTGTATTACTGGAGATTGAACCTAGGACCTTCACACTGAGCCGTGTCCCCAGCCCTTTTTATTTTTGAGACAGGGTCTCACTAACTTGCCCAGGCTGGGCTCAAACCTGAGATCCTCCTGTCCCAGCCTCCCAAGTATTAGGGATTACAGGTATGTACCACCATACCTGGCAGGTTTTAATCTTTTTTTTAACTGGCAGGTAGTATACATATTTGTGGGAACAATGAGGTGTTCATGCTTTGCATTGACTGATTCGGGGATGTTGGCACTTCCCTCACCTAATCGTTTGTCGTTTCTTCGTAGTGAGACCGTTCAACACTTCTCTTGCAGCTCATTGGGTTTTATTTGACAGAGTGCTTTCCCCAACCCCTGCTGTGGTGAGCCCAGGGCTCCACACATACTCCGGGCAACTCCTCTGTCCCTGAGATGTACCCCAGCTGTCTTAGTTACTTCTCTTGTTGCCAAGACACAATACATAGCTCCTGCAACATAAAGGACAGGTTTATTTTGGCTCATCATTTGTAGGGGTGTCAGACCAGTCAGCTGGTTCCAAGGCAGGGCAGCGTGGCAGAGGAGCATCACGGGGAAGGCTGGCTTGTGGCACGGCAGGCAAGAACTGTCAAGCCATCAAGGGAAGAGGGGGAGATAGACCTTTCCAGGCCACGCCCACAGGTGACCCACCCCTTCCTACCAGGCTTCACCTCCCAACGTCACAGCTATAAACCCATCAGTGGACTCATCCAGTGGCACACCTCTGACCCAGTGTCAAATCCAGGACCAGTCACTTCCCAAAAGCCCCACGCTAACTATAGGCACACTAACACTAGCCCTTTTGATTTCTTGTTTTGAGACAGTGTCTTAATAGGTTGCCCAGGGTGGCCTTGAGCTTGCGACCCTCCTACCTTAGCCTCCTGAATAGTTGGGATTACAGGCTGTAGTCACCCTCCTGTGTTGTAAGATACCAGAATGGCAGGAAGGTTTTAGGAGGGAGAGTGACCTGGAAACGGGGAGGCAGGGGGTCTTCATAAAGATGAGATTGGGCTTCTTAGCTAAGACACTGTAGTGAGTAAGAGGTCATCCTGGATGAGACAGTGAGATGCAGGAAGAGTATCCAGGCATAGAGCAGAGGCCTTATGCCGGCAAGGAAACTGAGGCCCAGTTCCCGAGGGGCGGAGACACCCTTGGCTACTGTCACCCCATTCCTGGAGGCAGGACATGTGCTTGGTTGTCCCTGACACCCAGGGTGTCCACCTGGGGCTCTGGGGGAAGGTCCTGCATCCTGAGCATAAGGAAGCACCCATGCCCAGGGCTCCTTTCCGACCCACCTGTGTGTGTTTCTGCTGCCCAGGGCTGGGTGAGAGCGGTGTGACAAACATCTGTACTGAGCATGTGTTTCCTCTCTCCTCCAGGACATTAAGGATGCCTTGTGCAGGTACGAGCCCCTGTCCCCTCCCAGGCAGGTGGGTGGAGGTGGGGGCAGTTGTGGCCACCAAGGTAAAGCTAAGTTGTCCCTATAGGGTCCAGGATGTGAAGCTGCAGCCCCCGGAGGTGGTGCCCATGGAGCTGAGGACCGTGTGCAGGGTGCCAGGGCTGGTGGAGACTCTACAGAGGTTTCGAGGTGGGAACGGAGGGTTCAGGCAGATGGGGGACCCTGGAAAGGTGCTATGGAGAAGCAACAAAGCCAGCGATGTGTCCTTTGGCCTGGCCACTGACCACACACAATCTGGTCAGGACAGCAGGTGGCTGGGAGACCCCTGCTGACACACTGACACATGCTCCCACTCCCTGGGCACTGGCTGTGGGCATCCAGCCATTCAGTTCAGTTCTGACATTGTCTCTGGAGTCCATTGGCCCCCACTTCAGACACCACTCGTGACACCAAGGGACCCCAAACTTCTGTCCCCCCTGTTACAAGTTAGGATCCCACAATCCCTGTGTTCAGTAACTTGATAGGAGGGCTTATGAGATCCAGGAGAACACTATTGGTTACTACAAAATGCAGCTGAGAAACAGTGGGGTAGGAGAACTGTGTGGGCATGGTCTATGAAGGCATCACCCTCCACACCTGATTGTAGAGGCCCTGGTTCTCATCTGGCAGTTTTGGCGGAGGTTCTCCATAGGCACAGTTGCTTAAGTTGTTGGCCACTGGTGATGAACTCAACCTCCAGCCCCTGCCCCCTCCGGACCTCAGTTGGTGGGGGGTGTGGACCTTCCGGCCCTGTTACCTGACACTGGTCCTCCAAGTGAGCAGCCCCGTCCCAAGGAACACACGATCAGGTATGGCTGAAGGAGTTGCTTACAAATGAGAATGGGAGCCAGGGACACAGACCACATCCAGTTTGTTTCTGCACTGCCATGGCCATGCTAGAAGAGTCCTGGCCTCAGCCTGCTGGCTACAAGCACAGGATTGTGCCAGACAGCAGAGGCACTGACCATCGGTCACCTGGCACGTGGTTGGGTGGAGATAGCCACTCTCCTTTTCTGAAGGAGGATCAAGCCTAGCCAGAACCTCAGACGAACAAACAAACCACTTGGATTTCTTCCTGCCCCCTGAGGCAGAATCAGACTGACCTCGGGCACATTCTGAATGGCAGCTGGAAGTGGCTAAAAGACCTTGTTCTAGTGGGGGAGCAGTGCAGGCTGGTGGGAGGTTTTTGCCGATGGGGCCTGACCCCAAGGTGCTGGCTGCAGTACCACCACGCCTGGATGACCTTGGGCCTTTCTCCACAGGTGACGTGACCCTGGACCCGGACACCGCCAACCCTGAGCTGGTGCTCTCTGAGGACAGGAGGAGTGTACAGCGAGGTGACCTTCGGCAGGCTCTGCCTGACAGCCCTGAGCGCTTCGACCCCGGCCCCTGCGTGCTGGGCCAGGAGCGCTTCACCTCAGGCCGCCACTACTGGGAGGTAGAGGTTGGGGAGCGCAGCAGCTGGGCCCTTGGCGTGTGCAGGGACAATGCCAACCGGAAGGAGAAGGGCGAACTGTCAGCTGGCAATGGCTTCTGGATCCTGGTGTTCTTGGGCAGCTACTACTCCTCCACCAAGCGGGCCTTCTCCCCGATGCGGGACCCCCCCAGGCGTGTAGGCATCTTCCTGGACTACGAGGCTGGACACCTCTCTTTCTACAGTGTGACGGATGGATCGCTGCTGTTCATCTTCCCTGAGACTGCCTTCTCTGGCACACTGCGGCCCCTCTTCTCACCTCTGTCAAGCAGCCCTACCCCTCTAACCATCTGCCGGCTGAAAGGCGGGTCTGGGGACGCCCTGGCTCCCCAGTGATGTGGGCCCTCTCAGGAGTCCTTGTGCCTCTCCTGGCCCCTGTCCTGTTCCAGTCTGTTCATATGAGGCCCTGTGAGGAGGGAACATTTCCTTTGAAAGATGAGAGGAACACGTAGTGCCTTTCTGAATGTGCTTGGGGAAACTGAATTTGGGGCGACTAGGTAAGTGTGGGACCACGCCCCCATGCATGTAGCACCAGCAGCCTTCACCCTACCACAGAGCCCTGGGGTTCAGAGCCTGCCTGAGCTGCCCTGCCCCAGGGTCTTCAGGCTGCAGCCAGGTCCCCCACCCCATGTACCCTACCTTGGTGAACACAGTGCAGAGGAGCAGGGTTTGGTTCCGTAGATGGAAGTGCTCGTAGGAGATGTCGCCACGCTGAAAGTGGTCACTGCAGAAGAGGACAGACAGCACCCAGCACTTCAGTCCCCCACTTTATTTATTGTAAGGACAGCATTTTCCAAATAAAAGTTGTCACCTGCTATTCTGTCCCCTGCTTGTGCTGGGATAATGACCAAAACCGAGAACCAGGCTCCAGGAAGGAGCTGGCGAGGGGACAAAGAGGCTCCTGGCTAACTGGCTTTCCATACCCACACAGGAGCTGAGGCATCGTGTACTCCTCTGGCTCTTCAGCATGTGTTGAGCATTTGCCCCTACTAAAGAAAGTCTTTTCAGGTTACCTGGTGAGCATTGCCTGTGATCCCTGAGTTCAAGGAGAACTTTCCCTGTGTCACAGTGCATTTGCACTTCTCCCAGGACTGAACTTTATTCCTGGTGGGCGTCTTCTCTTCACCACTTTGAACCAGGCGTCAGCAGTGACTGCTGCTTACATGGAGGCGTGAGGAAACCCAGCCTGAGTGTTGCTTCCCTTCCAACAAGCAACTGCAGCCTGCCTGGTCAGTGTCAGAAGCGGAACAGTCTGTCCTGGGTGATGCTGACTCCTGGGACAGCATGAGCCCTTGGTGCTCAAATATGGCCCCAGCAACCAGGTAGAAACACCCTTGGGTGAGGTTAGGGAGGAGCACAGTTATAGTACACAGTGCCGGCCATATCTTTAGAGAAGCTTGGACAGTGCTTCGGCAAATTCCATGACTCCCTGAACACCCACTCTGACACCAGCCTTCAGGTGTTCTTCCTCATAAGGAGACACTGGTAACCAGGCAGGGTTCAGGTGGCAGGAACACACAGCACCTGACCAGGGAGTCTGTGTGTCAGGGTGGATAACACTGAACAACCTAAGTATCACAAACTATTAGTGATGAGTACCCCACTAGCAGTGGTAAGCCCTGCAGTAGCCTCACTAAGTCCTTCACTAGCAGTATTGAGTCATCTAGCAATTATGAGTCCTCTCATTGAGAGGTGAGACCTACATTACCTGTGGTGAGTCCCTCAGTGGTAGTGTTGAGTCCTACACTAGCAGTTGAGTCCCACAGTAGCCCTGCTGAGACCTACACTCACTATTACAGGTCCTCCACCAGCCCTGGTGAGTCCCTCAATAGCAGTAGTATATCCTTCACTAGCAATGGTGAGTCCTTCAATAGAAGTGAGTCCTATACTACCTCTGGTGAGTCGTTCACTAGCGATGGAGAGCCCTACATTAGCCACTGTTTTTCAATAGCAATGTTGAGTAGTGCTGAGAGCTTCAAGTCTCAGAGGAGACTGGACTTGGATTTTTCAGCACTGCTGAAATTGTTGAGTTTGGCAATTTACAGATGAACTAAACGCATTTTAGGTAGAGGTGCACATGAATATTTTGAGGGTCAAAGGTGGACTGCTTGACTCTGCTCATAGGTGGGACTTTTGGAAGACAATCAGACCATGAGGGTGCTATCGTTGACTTGCCATTAGGAGATGGTACCTGGCCTTGGGAGACAGGTCACTAGGGCATGACCTGGAAGAGCACATCTCCCTCGGCTTCTCTCTCCTCTCTCCGCTTCCTGACCATCTTGATGTGAGCACGCTTCCTCCCCCAGGCCCTTTTACTATACCATTCCTGTGTTTAAGCCTGCCAGACTTGGACTGAAACTTCTGGACTGTGAGCCAAAATAATCACTTCTTTAAGTGGCAGGTGTAGGGTAATTTGTCCCAGTGACAAGGACGGTGACTAAGACAACTACATTAATATGTTAGAGGTAGGCAAGATGTAAAATAGGATATCAAAGAATTTGAAATGTGGGGAGGAATGATGTGTAAATGAAAAGTTTTCTTGTTACCTATTTTCTCTTGTTCTTTATTTTTATCCTTTTTATGATCATGTTAAGTTGCTATCATTTTGAAAGACTTTGTTATAATCAGATATATTTTTAATCTTCATGGTAACCACAAAACAAAGTAAGTAATAGACAAACCAAAAGAAAGTACACCACTAGAGTAAATCACTAACCACAAAGGAAGATTATAAGACAGGGAGAAAAAAGAAAATCAGGAAACAGGGTACAAAATGGCTCTAGTAAACCTTACTTCTCAATAATTATCATGAATGGTAAATGGATAAATTCTCCAATTAAAATACAGAGACTGACTAAATGGACAGAAAACAAGACCAAACAGTAGATCCCTGTAGTCAAGTGAATAGATTTAATACAAGACACATAATTTATAGGATTATTTTATAATATTCACCCAAAGAGTCAAATGCAGAAAGAGTGCCAGAAATCTGGGGCTGGGGATTTAGCTTAACAGCACAGCACCTGCCTGGCAAGCGTGAGGTTGTGAGTTCGATTCCCCATACCGGAAAACAAACGAACAAACAAAAAAACCCAGAAATCTGACCACACACTAGTGACCCAAAGAATCTAGCTGAGAGTCTGGGCCCCACAGCAATGTCCTGCGCAAGTCCAGCTGAAGACCTAGAGCCCATAGCAGTGTCCTCCACAAGTCCAGCTGGAGGCCTAGAGCCTGCCACAATGTCTCACGCAAATCTGTATCAAGGATCTGCACTGGAAAGGCCCAAAGGTCCGTGGTAGAAGCTAGAAAGTCTGCATCAGTGGGATGAAGGATCTGTCCCAGCAGGCTGAGGGATCTGCACTGGAGCCAGGAAGCAATGCTCAAGGTAAGGACCAGAGCTCCCCTGAAAAGAACCACAGCTATCTTCAGTGACAGCGAGGACCCAAGCTCCTCCAGTGATGAGAACAGCTGAGTACATACAGGGAAACCAACATGACAAGCTTCTCTAGGAGAATCAATAGCACGCTATCTTCCACTCTGGTTCTTTTATGCTGTTGGCAACAATCCTCAGGTGGGACTTCCATACCCAGAACCATGCTGATTCAGTTCAACTGGGTGTTACAAGTTGACCATTAGTTAATCCACCATACCAACTATTTGTTGCTTATAAGAAACTCGCTCCTCCTCTAAGGACACACTTAGACTGAAAGTAATGATATGGAATAAGCAGTCCCCTGCAAATGCATCTCAAAAGTAAGCAGAACTAGCCATACTTGGATCAAATAGGCTTTAAGTTGAAAGTAGTAAAGAGAGACAAGGAAAATCATTGCATATAATGCACCCCAGTATATACAGGAAATATTAAAAGGGAAAGACAAACTCCAACAAAAAATAGTTATGGGTTTTAACATTCTCCACTTTCAGCAGTGGGTAGATACCCAGCCAAACGTCAACAATGAAACAGGTTTTAAATGCACCCTAAAATAAATGGAGCTCATAGACATCTAAAGAACACTCTGCCCAACAGTGACAGGATACATGCTTTTCTCATCAGAATATCAAATATTCTCCAGGATAGATCACATGACAGGCAATCAATCTCAACAAAAATTTTTTAAAAAGTAGAATTATATCAAGTATGTTTTCTGACCACAATGCAATGAAACTAGAAATCAATAACAAGAACAACTTTTGAAACTATTCCAACTATTCAAAGACATGGCTGGGCATGGTGGCACACACCTGTAATCCCAGCACTTGGGAGGCTGAGGCAGGATGATCATTGCTGAGTTCAAGACCCGCCTGGGCTACAAAGTGAATTCAAGGCCAACCTGAACTACATAGCGAGACCTTGTCTCAAAAAAAAAAAAAAAAAAAAAAAAAAAAGAAAAGAAAAGACATGAAACTAAATAAATATTTTAAAAACTAACATATCAAAGAAGAAATCAAGAAAGAAATTTTAAAATTTCTTGAAACAATAATGAAAACAACACACTAAGACCTATGGACATAGCAAAGCAGTATTAAGAGAAAAATTTACAGCAACCAGTGCTCACATCAAAGTTCTCTAAGAACTTATCACTGCAGCTCAAGGAATGAAAAAAAGTAACAAACCAAACCAAAAATTAGTAGAAGAAAAGAAATAAAAATCAAAAAAGGAGTAAATGAAATAAAGACTAAGGACTACAAAGGGACAATGAAAGAGAGTTGTTCTTTGAAATGATAAACACAATAGACAATCTCTTTAGCTAATAGTTCAGAAAAAGAGCAAAGGCTCAAGTTAATTCACAGATGACACAAGACATAAAAATGGACACCACAGAAATACAAATGACCATAAGAGATTATTACGGACAAATCATGCCAGCAAATTTGATAATCTAGGAGAAATGGAAAAATTCCTAGAGATATAATTCAAGGAATAAGCCTATCATAAATCCTCTGAATCCTGAAGAAATAGAAAAGCTGAATAGACCAATAAAATGTAGAGGCTGATTCAGTAACAAAAAAGCTCATTAAAGAAAATTCCAAGACCATAGGCTTCACTACTGAATTCTACCAAGCTTTTAAAGAGGTGCTTATATGCATTCTCTTTGCATTATTACAAAAAATAGAACAAAGAATTCTTCCAAGCACATTATATACAGGCCAGAATTACTCTGATGCAAAAGCCATATAAGAACACTCTTTTAAACAAACAAAAACTACAAGCTAATGTCCCTAGTGTACACAGTTATAAAAATACTCAACAAAATACTAGCAAACAAAATACAACAGCAAACAAAAAAGTTATTTACCAAGATCAAACGGGATCCAGTCCAGAGATATAACAATAGCTTGATATATGCAAATCAATAACTGATATATCCCATCAACAGAATAAATGACAAAAAAACCATATGGTCATCTGGACAGATGTAGAAAAGGCTTTTGATAAAATTAAACATCCTTCATGACAAAAATGCTTTATAAACTAGGTATAGAAGTAATGTATCTGAAAATAATAAAAGCCATTTACAATAAGCAAGAGCTAACCTACTGAAGGGGACATACCTATACACTTTATTTCTAAGATCTGTAATAAAGCAAGGGTGCCCACCTTCACCACTTCTATTCAACATAGTTCTAGAAGCTCTACCCAACAATCAGGCAGAAGAGGTAAAAGGCATCTAAATTGGAAAAGAAGATACATTGTCACTGCAGATGATATGGTCTCATACATAGAAATCCCCAAAACTCCTCCAAAAATTCTAAAACTAATAAGTCAATTCAGCAAATGACCAAGGTACAAAATCAACATACAAAAAAGTAGCATAA